ATGGAAGAAGGTACATAACCCAAGTTGAGGTCTTTCTGTCCTTCGTGAAAAAGAGCACCTCTGATCGTTGAGGAATTGCTAAGAACTAGAACTAGCATCAGCCATCAGCGAAGAGGTCTAGGAAGCATTCTTTAGAATCAGAATGTCTAGGTGCATTGTAGTAGGATTGGTGTCTTTCAGATCGAGCGGGCTGAACTTAGAGCTTTAGCTTCTGTCAGTATCTTCGAGGCTCCAGGTAGACCAGCCTCGCACAGGGCCCTCGATGACGAAGCAGGGCAGCCGCATACACTGACGGCTCTGGCGTTTCACGATGTGGCCTTTCTCAGGGAGTTAATACTCTGGTCAGGAATACACACATAGGAATTTTAAAGATTTTATTTATTTATTTGACAGAGATCACAAGTAGGCAGAGAGGCAGGCAGGGAGAGAGGAGGAAGCAGGCTTCCTGCTGAGCAGAGAGCCTGATGTGGGGCTTGATCCCAGGACTCTGGGATCATGACCTGAGCGGAAGGCAGAGGCTTTAACCTACTGAGCCACCCAGGCACTCCTACACACATAGGAATTTGGCTTCTGAGATATCTTCACGGCACGTAAGTTGTTGATGAAACCATGTGGCTCCCAGCTCTTTGGGAGGAGCAGCAGTGCTCCAGGTCCAAGGTCATCATGGAGTATGCCAGGTGCTGGGGTCATTCTTGGGGAGGATCTGGGGAAGGATTTTTCTCAGTGTTGAATATTGACAAACAGGATGGATCCTGTTAGGAAAATAGGATTCCTGACCTAATCCAATCGATATGTGTAGGTACAAAGTGAAATCGCTTCAGCAAACACCGAAGAGGAGGAGGATGAAGATGATGAGGATGAAGATGATGAGGAGGAGGAGGAGGACGAAGAAAACTTGGAGGAGCTGGTGAGTGCTCCTGTAAAGTCCGCTTTCTTCGCATAGGGCAGGTGCCTATGTGGACTTTTGCTAGATTAGCCTGGGCTGTTTCTTCTGGTTTGAGTGTAGCCTATTAGAGACGGCACTTGAAGAACTGATGAGTCTGGGAGGAGTGTCCAGTGGCAACGGGAGGGTGAGGGGAGCATGCGGTTGCCCTCGCTGCGCGAGGTCTGGGTTTGCGGGAGCGGCTGTGATGGAAGCCCTCTGTGACCGCAGACGCCTGGGCTCTCTAAGAAGCGAGTAAGAGCTTCGCTGTCTGACCTGTCAAGCCTTGAAGATGTGGAAGGAATGAGCGTGCGCCAGCTGAAGGAAATCCTGGCTCGGAATTTTGTCAGCTACTCTGGCTGTTGTGAAAAATGGGAGCTGGTGGAGAAGGTCAACCGGCTATACAAAGAGAATGAAGAAAACCAAAAGTCATGTAGGTTTCCTTTTTCTTTCTTCCCCCTATACTTTCCTTCTTTAGAGTTTTACAAATTGAGCTGTTTCGGTCACAGCGAAGTCACATTTTTTGAGAAAATTACATATCCTTTTATCGAACAAATTAGGCGTCTGAATCGGTCGCTGTTAGGTAGTAGGTTTATTATGTGATGTTAGCTCTGAGACCGCCATTGCCACGTGAGTTAGGTCGTCATCTGTTCAGTGTGGTTTTCTTGCCATAATTTGTTAGAACCCTGATGAAATCCCTCGTCTCTGTAAAAATGCGTGCTTTCCCGCTAACTCTTCTGGCAGGCCGATACTTCGGTTCTCTCAATTGTAGCTTTTAAATCCTCACTGGAAAAAAAAAAATTCCCTGGAGGCAAAGAAGTGAAGTAGTTCTTAGCGTCAAGTATTAGGTTTCTGTGTGAGTTGGGGAAGCTGAGGTTAAGAATTCCTGATCTATGTATTGATGAAGCATAGAGTGGAAGTCCTTAGGGCCAAGCCGTAGAGCGTTTATAGGCAAGAAAAAAAGATTTCAGTGGTGTTCAGACTGACAAATAAGTTCCTATCTATTTTGTTTGTTTGTTTTGAGTGAGAAGGAGCAGGGGGAGGGGTAAAGGGAGAGGGAAAAGCAGACTCCCTGCTCAGCAGGAAGCCCCATGGGGGTAGATTCCAGGCCCCAGGATCATGGCCTACATCAAAGGCAGACACTCAACCTACTGAGCCACCCAGGCGCCCTGTTATGTTCCTATCTAAACAGTTCTCCCATCATTAACTTTTATCACCTTGAGGTTTTTTTTTTTGCCCTTCAAATCTGGTTATAATACAGCAATTATTGATAAACACTTAGGTCCAGAATATGCAGGAAGTATTTTGGCATACCCGTTTCTAAGATGATACCACAAGGGTAGACACGGGAATCTTAATCCTCAGAGCCTTCCCAGGCTGTGGCTGGGAAACGGTGTTCTGGCGGTGAGGGGAGAGGTCCGTTCACTTAGTAAGCGTAGAGTGTGTACAACTGTGTGGGGCGCACACTGGTTGTGCATGGCTGTTCCCACCCTCCGGGGGTTTATGGTAGAGGAGGCCAAGACACGCACGTTTGCCAAAGTGCCTTTTTCAGTTAATTCATTGCTTACTCTGTCCCGGGTCCAATCTCCAGGCCTGTGGAAAACTCCCTTTTGTCTTGACCACAGCTGGAATCTTCCCTAGTTTGACTGGCTTCGGGCACTTCTGGTGTGATGCACCCCAGTAGCCTTTCCTAATAGCCTTGACAGACCCTGGCTCCTCTGCTTTCTGCTCAGAGCTTTTAAGAGTTGGAAAGAAACTTCCATGCAGGAGAGGAGACCACAGCCTAGACTCTGGTTTACTCAGGAGCCCTCCAGTGTCTTCTCTACTGGCCCATCTGTTGTCTTACCCCTTGAATCCTTCTTCCCCAGTCCCCGGTTTTTAAGAACGTCTGGACATGGCATTGTTATTTCTCTTAAATTCAGAGACCGTTGGCCCTTCAGGGTTGAATTTCTGTTCTTTCTGACTGAAATCATGACATTCCCATCAGTCCCCTCTACCACCTGTAAAAAGGGATGCCTCGATGTCTGTAGCTCTAGGACCAAATCTCAGGCTGACGTAAACTCTTGAAACTCCTTCAGCACCTTTCTTATTCAGAGCTTGGATCTTCTCAGAACCTAAATCTGGGTCACAGAGCCAGGATGGCCTATCTGCTTACAGTTAGGCAGACTTCAGCTGGCTTCTGAGATCCTTCTAAACTTTCCCCCGAGTACAGGCTACTTGATGTATGACTCTTCAGAACTTTCCTGTCAGTGTAGAGATGAAGCTCTGGAAACTGACTTTTCCTGAGGCCACACAGTTGGGTTGGAAATTCCATTCATGTGCTCTGAGGCCCAGGTATAGGACAACCGTGGGTTTCTTCATTTGCACTTAGAGAAGTAATCTCTCCTTATCACGTAAACTTTGAATTAGAGCTATAAAATAGAAGTAAGTAGCTAACATTTGTTGGGCCTTTCCTACCTGGCCATAAGCTAAGCATTTCTCATTTCTTCTTCACAAAACTTCACGAAGTGTGGGCATCCTTATCACTGCCATTTCTAGTGGAGGGACCGGAAGTGCAGAGAAGCTGGGTTATGTCTCCTACAGCCCCGGGCTCGTGCGGGGCTTAGCGCCTGTCAGGCAGTGCGGTGCCTGCAGCCCCAGCTCTCTGTTGCCTTTCAGATGGCGAGCGGCTGCAGCTGCAGGATGAGGAAGATGACCGCCTCTGCCGCATCTGCATGGACGCCGTCATCGACTGCGTCCTGCTCGAGTGCGGGCATATGGTCACCTGCACCAAGTGCGGCAAGCGCATGAGCGAGTGTCCCATCTGCCGGCAGTACGTGGTGCGCGCCGTGCACGTGTTCAAGTCCTGAAGCCCAGGTGCCTCCCAACGGCACACTCGCCCCCAAGCTCCATCCCAGACATTTCAATGTATGGAAGTGACTGGAAACTTAACTGTTCAAAGGCTGAAAACTATTTTTAAAAATTATTTTCACTACTAACTGGGGACAGAAAGCTCCCTCCTAAGCAGTGGTGACGTTGGTCTGTGCCATACGCCTGCCAGCCCATGGCTGTGCCAGATTCGCGGGTCCCGCGGGGCTCCATCCCGTGTCCGTGATCAGTGATCGCTGATGAAGCCAGACTGCTTTTGCGGCATCAGCTGTTGCTCTCTTTGGAGAACAGTTATCCTGTTCTCTTATTTCTCCTTCATCCTATTTTTAACTTAAACTACTCAGATGTTTGAAACTTCTGTTCTCTTTGGATGACATCACTGTCCACAAGTGGCCCACATGTACACACTGAGCAGTGGCCCCTCTGAATGTTCACTTTATTAGTCATGTAGATTTTAAATGCTACTATTTGATGAATGTAAGTTTCCACATTGTTGCTATTTCTGCGTTTAAACATAACTGGGAACAACCGACATTCTGTAGTCAACTTGCCGGGGCCTTAGACTCGACATGTCCGTTTCTGTTCAGGTACAGCTTTTTAGAGCAAGGGCTGCATCTAGCTTCTTTTCGTTAGAGAAGTGTGTGTGTGTTAAATCCTTTATTAATGTGTAATCAGTTTACACTGTTTTGTATAGTGAAAGTGTATTTTCAGTGCTACCGCTAGCTAATTTGAACTTTAGGAATAAAATTAGATTTTAAGAAATACTTTTGCTTACATTGTCCTTGTCTGTTCCTAATTCACTTGGGTACAGCACAAATGGGTGTCTGCGCCTGCTCTGGCACCCTTCTTCACAGGAGACGGGGAGCACCTTCAAAGACTTGCAGTCTTTGATCTACCTTTGCTGCTGATGTACCAGTAAGCTGAACTACGGACTTGCTGTCTCCTGTGACCAGGTATTGTGCTGGGTGCTTTCTGGTTCTCTTTAGCATTCTGAAATCGGTTGCCTTGTTTCACAGATGGGGAACCTCTGAGAAATTAAAGAACTTGTCTAAAATCTTAGAAAGTTGCTGGGACACTTGGCTGGCTCAGTCGGAAGAACATACGACTCTTGATCTCAGGGTCGTGAGTTGAGCTCCACGTTGGGGGTAGGGGTTACTTAAAACTTGAGTGAATTATTTAGTATGTGACTATCTTTTAATAGAGCTGTTACCAAAAAAAGTGGCAATAAAATATTTGATACTTTAAAAAGGAAGTGGCTAACATCAGAACGTGAACCCGGCTCTGACACTAATTTTTTTTTTAATTCTTCCGCTATCACCCAGCAAAGAGAAACCAGACATAGGCTTATGCAGAACAGTTCCTAGAACATGAATGATCTGAAATCGCTTCACCTTCACATCTAACTCCAACCAGGGTGGTGTTTTGGTTGAAACCGACTGTGAACTGATTCCTTCAGTAGGTATGTTTTTAAGAAATGCCTAACTGCTCAGCCGAGTCCTGTTGGGTTTTATGTTTTTTTTGTGTGGTTTTTTTAAGATTTTATCTATTTATTTGACAGAGATCACAGGTAGGCAGAGAGGCAGGCAGAGAGAGAGGAGGAAGCAGGCTCCCCGCTGAGCAAAGAGCCTGATGCGGGGCTCGATCCCAAGACCCTGGGATCATGACCTGAGCCGAAGGCAGAGGCTTTAACCCACTGAGCCACCCAGGCGCCCCGGGTTTTATGTTTTGACTCTGCAGTGGACAACACAGATGCCTTTAAGTGCTCAGGATCCACAAGTCAGTCAACAAATCTGAAGATTATAGCAAGGGAGGCAGATAGTCTGCCCCGGGTATAGGGAGAAAGTTTGCCTAGTTGTGAAGAAAAGCATGCCTTCCCGTGTCTCCTGGTTTTGAGGGACACTGCATGCAAACCCAGGCCTTACGGGTATTTCAAACAACTTTCTCTCCTGTTTGCCTACAGAGCACAGGGTGGGTGCTGGCCACAGTTCATGGTAAGCAGCCTGAGCGGATCCTTACCCCACTGCAGAAGCAATCAAACCCACCCCTGCTGAAGCGGTAGGAGCGCTTACCCGGTCTGTACCTCTCGTGAGACCGTGAACTCCGGAAATCCAACCTTACCCACAAACTGCTAATTCAGTGGAAAGAAGTCTTCAAATCCAGGCCAGCAGGTGATAGTAAACACAGAAATAGAAGCTGAGCAGAAGGTGCTGGTTTGTCTTAAGTTAGAAAATTGAGATTCATTTGTATGTGGCCTCAGCTTCAATAGCTCGTTTGGTGTTTCCTCTTGGATTTATGGAGGTTGTTTCAGGTATTTGTTTTTAGCAAGAGAACGAAAACTCTTAATAGTGGATTTTTCAAAGATTTTATTTGTCAGAGAAAGAGCACATAAGCAGGGGGAGAAGCAGGCCCCCCCACTGAGCAGGGAGCCTGATGCGGATCTCGATCTCAGGACCCCTGGGACCATGACCCAAGCTGAAGCCAGACGCTTTACTGACTGAGCTACCAGGCATCCCTTAATGGTGGATTTTTAAAGGTAGTGTTTTGAAGTAATCTTGGCTTAGTGAATAGCCAACAGAAATTTTTAGCCTAACAGACTTGACAACTCACAAGGTGCTGACTGCCTTGTTTGACAGAGGGCAGACATTTCCCCCTACAATGTACATTTCCTAGCTGGCATGCTCTGGCTCCTGAAGTTTTTGAACAGGTCATACACGGATAAAGGTCTGAAGGTCTACAGCAGAATACGATGCTGTCCCCTTGCTCTTATCCTCACAACATGCAAGGATGGCATTCGATGCTTTGGACATGCCATGGTGGTGTTCATCCTTTGTAAACCCCAGGTTCCCCAGAGGAAGCAGGGATGGAGCGGAGCCTCTTTTCTGGATTAGGAAACTGCGATCTGATCCATGAAGCACTGCCTCTGGCTTATGCTTTTTTTGCTTCATCAGTTACAGTCTATGACTATTATTACAAATAGTTGCTCTCAGAGCAACTATTTTTAAGCATTTAGCTCAGGCCTACCTCATCTAAAGCTCATTTTTATTTATTTGACAGAGAGCGATAGATCACAAGTAGGTGGGGTGGGGGGGAAGCAGGCTCCCTGCTGAGCAGGGAGCCTGATGCGGGGCTCGATCCCAGGACCCTGAGATCATGACCTGAGTTGAAGGCAGAGGCTTAACCCACTGAGCCCCAGTGCCCCTTATATATATATATATATATTTTTTTTTTTTTAAAGATTTTATTTATTTATTTGACATACAGAGATCACAAGTAGGCAGAGAGGCAGGCAGAGAGAAAGGAGGAAGCAGGCTCCCCGCTGAGCAGAGAGCCCGATGTGGGGCTCGATCCCAGGCCCCTGGGATCATGACCTGAGCCGAAGGCAGAGGCTTTAACCCACTGAGCCACCCAGGCGCCCCTTATATATATATTTTAAATTTTCCTTAAAAACCTTAATTACTTGACAGAGAGAGAGTGGAGGAGAGCCAAGCCGGGGGATCGGCAAGGAGAGAGAAGCAGGCTCCCCGCTGAGTAGAGAGAGTTTGTGACACGAGTCTCCATCCCAGGATCCCAGGATCATGACAAACTGAGCCACCCAAATATCCCTAAAAATCATTTTGAAAATTAACAGTCTGCACAGAAACTGTACTGGGGCATAACCCGGACTGGCTTGTTTAGTACGTGCAGGGGAGCGGATATGCCGCCACTGCAGGATGGTGGCGCGCCTCAGGCCTGGAGAGACCAGTGTCTTGGTTCGGAGGCGTGTCCCATGATAGCTTTGGCTCCCCAGCCCGGGCAGCCCTCTCTGCCTCCTCTTGGCAGACCTGCGAACTCCTGGAAACATTACAGGAGAAACGGGGCCCTCTGGCCCCGATGACTGTTCACCTGGAGAACACTGTAATTCTTAAAGCAATTCCCAAAGAGGAGGCATCAGGATAAGGCTTACTCGGAAGTTCAGGGAACTCAAGCTGGGATCTGTGGGGTTGCTCCATAGGTGAACGAACAGGCGTGCGAAGGTAAGCCGTATTTTTTTTTTTTTTTTTTAAAGATTTTATTTATTTATTTGACAGAGAGAGATCACAAGCAGGCAGAGAGGCAGGCAGAGAGAGAGGAGGAAGCAGGCTCCCTGCTGAGCAGAGAGCCCGATGCGGGGCTCGATCCCAGGACCCTGAGATCACGACCCGAGCCGAAGGCAGCGGCTTAACCCACTGAGCCACCCAGGCGCCCCGGTAAGCCGTATTTTTATAAATAAACCACAGTGTTGGGGCCCCTGGGTGGCTTGGTTGGTTAAGCATCTGCCTTCGGCTCATGATCTTAGGGTTCTGGGATCGAGCTCCCTGTCAGACTCCCGGCTTGGCAGGGAATCTGCTTCTCCCTCTCCCTTTGCCCCCACCCCTGCTTGTGCTCGAATAAATAAAATCTAAAAACAAAACAAAACATAGTGTTAAACTAATCTTACCTTTGTAAGGTGCATCTCCTGAGTTAAATTCTGGTTTCCAGTTTGAGTCAAAGGATCTCTGTGTTTAAGCTAACAGGAGGCATTAGACTAGGTGGGATCTAAAACATTTCGTGGCCAAAAAAAAAAAAAAGGAAGGGGGAGGCAACAAACTACTGAGGAAATGAGGTGTGTTATCTTCTCCATTTTCAGAATCAGTACAGCAGCCTTATCTATGTGGGAATAGAAGGTTGCAGGACCCTCTTTAAAAAAAATTGTGTGATCTAAAATGTCTTCTCCGTGGTTTGTGTCCACCAGTTGGCGACAGCAGCGGCCCTGGCCCAAGGCTCCCGAGAGCAGCGTGTGGCCTCCGGGAGCGGCTCCAGGGAGAGGCCTGAGGAGCTGGACCCCCCTGCCCCCCACCACGGCAGTGGCAACACCAAGGGGCCATGGCTGTTACTTCACACAGGTGGGCTCTGAGGCACCCGCACAGGTAAGCCACCTCCCCGAGGCCAGTGGGGCGGCGCCGTTCTTTCCCCAAAGGCCAGAAACTCTGCAGATGGGAAACCGCGGGCACCGCGGGGCCACTGCGGATCTCTGACGACTAAGGTAGTTTATACCAGTGTCGAGACTGCTGGCCCTGGACTTCTCAGTCAGCTTTCTAGCACCCCCCTCGAACAGAAACTCTCCAAGGCCGAGAGTGCTTTTTTGTACAATTGTTTATACAAATTCAACAAAGGTAAAACCGCATCAGGGAAGGTCTAGGAAAACAACACCTTAACAACAATGGCACTTATGAAGGCATAACTTTACAACTAGGAAACAGCCGTGTTATAAGCCTTGAACGAGAACTCAACTCACTTCAAAGGAGAGAAAAAAGGAAAAGAAAGGCTATGTTGGATCATTTATTCTACTTCTTGACCCACTGTATAAATTAGATCCTTATAGAATACAAGAGCTCATGCTGGCGCAAAACTCTCCTGAGTGCAAAGGCTGAAGTCTGAATTTTAAAATTTTGAGAAATGGGTGAATTCTATACAGAGGAAACTTGGCAGAGTGTCTTACTTCGACTATAATTAACATATGACCACATGCTTGTGTAATTCTTGACGACGTACAAAGCAGGCTCTCAACTTCCAGTTAAACATGCTTTTAATTGGAAGGTCTTCGCCTGCTCTGCCGGATCTGGGCACGTGTGTAGATGATTATTTGTGTGGATGAAGTACAGGTTCAGTTCTCTCCTACCTTAGGAAACCAGGGAAGTTGGCAATCTCAAAACAATAAAAACACAGGTATGCATTCAAACCTTGCATAAATAACTTTTAAACAATTTGTACAAAAATAGTTCTGCATAATGTAAGATGTAACAAAACCAACCAAACAAAAAATGTCACGACTGCAGCAGATGTGGCGTGTGGTCCGCTGAATGTCGACACCGACCCCCGGAGCTGCAAGGAACAAGGTGTCCAAAACGAAAACACCACCACCCACGAAACTCCTAAGCTCATGCTTCAGTAAGAGAATTTCTTCGAAGTCTGTCCTCCTCTCCAGCAGGAATGTCTTGGTAAAGGCCGCCTTTAGAAATGGTCCAGAAAGCCGTGCGGTTGTAATTCAGAGAGACTGAAGGGGGAGTGTCCAGTTCACTCCTCCCCCAAACAGGAGCCAGGACGGCTTCTCCCTCAGCAAGACTAGCAGAATGGGATCGTGGGGTCTGTTGTTTCAAGTTCCAAATTGAAAATAAAAGCCCTAGTTTCTGTAAAGTTTTTTCCCCTCCCCTGCCATGATCCCTCCCCCTCCCCACCCCTTATTTACATACTTGTCCTTGGACTAACTCAGTTTCTGTAGGAGTTTTTCTTCCACTTGCCCAAACTGGACACTCACGGACATTTCAGCGATGAACTGCTCACAGCCTTCCTTGGTGACCTGCTTGCAGTACCTCAGGTCAATATGACAGATATTTCCACAGCGTTTGAAGAAGGACAGGCACTGGTCAGTAACCTTATTGCAGTCTGCGGGGGAGCGGAGACAACACGAGGTGAAGCAAGTACAAAGGCCAGAGGCCCCTCCTGCCCCCGCCAAACCCCAGCACCGAGCCATGAAGTAACAGGACAGAGCCCTTGAGCACTGTCCAGCCCCTGGTGCCCTTGGGAAAACTGCACTTGCTGGAAAGCTCTCATTAAACGGGGAATGGTTCCATCTACCAATCAGAAAGGTTAATGTATGCTTGAAAAGCGTTCAGACTTCCAAGTGAAATCACTTCCAAGCTTACCACTGCCTCTCTCTATGTATAAAATAGGTCTCCTGTCCATGCTGTTTAACAAAGACAGGCTCACACAATATGTTAAATAGCTTGTTTTTCCCATCTAATTTATGGTCGATAAATACCTCCCTGTCTACGTGATGGTGCACTTATCTGCTTCCCCCCTCCCCCCGCCCCCGCACCGCTCCCCAAACTGATCCGTAGGGAATAAGCAAAGGGTGAGAGTGAGAACATCTGTATGGTCATCTTGGGCTCCTCTTGGCCCATACAGGCACTGGGGCTTTCAAGTGAGGCAGAGCAGGCTTGCGCGCCCCTTGCTAAATGCTTACTGGAAACCCGTGAAGACCAGGCTACTACCAAGGCTGACAACGAGCAAACCCAGAATTCGGAGTCTTTCATCGTGCCCTCACTTAGAGACACACTCTTCTGCCCCTGCTCTTGTGAATTTCTACTTTGCCTTTACCACCCTTTTTTGCTTTAAAGCTGCAGCCACAGTCGATTGGCCTCAATGCCAGGTAGCAGCCAGCGGAGGCTCAGAGAGCGCCCCCACCCGGCAGACAGATTTCCTTCATCTCAGTGGTGTTCAGCCCGAGCCCTCTGTCCTCCCTAGCATCTGCACTTTCACTTCTCCATTCAGGTGAGTCGGAATGAAAACCGTACAGGCAAACTGTCAAAATACTGACAGCCCTAGTGCAGGCCTCATGACTGTCCAAGTGCCAGGTTTGGAGGTGGCATAAAGAAGTAAACAAGTTTAGCCAAGTTGCAGGATACAAAATAAACACACAGAAACCAGTTGCATTTTTGTACACTAGCAATGAACAATCAGAAAATTAACAGTTCCACTTACAGTAGCATCAAAAAGAACAAAATAAAATACTTATAGTTTAACCGACGAAGTGAGTGACTTTGTAACTCACTTTGTAACTCACTGAAAACTAAGAAAGTGCTTTAAGAATTTAAAGATATAAATGGAGAGCTGCCCCATATTCATGGGAAGACTAAGTACTGTTAAAATGTCAACACTGTTCAAAGCAAGCTACAGATTCAATGAAGTTGCTATAAAATACCAACATTTTTTTGCAGAAATTGAGAAATCCATCCTCATAAGGGATCCTAAATTATCAACACAGTCTAGAAAACAAAATTGGAGGACTCACACCTCCTGACTCACTACAGCATGTCTTCCTGGCACTAAGGTCATGCAGATGAAGAGAACAGAACCGAAACCCCAGACAGAAATTAAACCCCTGAATCTTCAGAGATTTCTGACAGGGTGCCACAACCACTTAGTGGGTAAAAGACAAACTTTTGAACAAATGCTGCTGGGAAAATCAGATCTTCTACCTCACACCATACACAAAGTTAACTCAAAATTATTTAGACCTAAAACTATAGGACATTGGATTTGTCAATGGTTTCTTTCTTTGTTCTTTTTTTAAAGATTTGGAGAGCACGAGCAGGGGAGTGGAGGCAGGGGCAGGGGAAGAAGCAGTCTCCCCACTAAGCCAGGGCTTCATCTCAGGACCCTGGGATCATGACTGGAACTGAAGGCAAACACTTAACTGACCGAGCCACCCAGGTGCCCCTGAATTTATCAGTGGTTTTTTTTTTTTTTTCTTAAAGATTTTATTTATTTATTTGACAGAGATCACAAGTAGGCAGAGAGAGAGAGGAAGGGAAGCAGGCTCCCTGCTGAGCAGAGAGCCTGATGCAGGACTCGATCCCAGGACCCTGGGATCATGACTTGAACCAAAGGCAGAGGCTTAACCCACTGAGCCACCCAGGCGCCCCATATCAGTGGTTTCTTAACACCACACCAAAAGCATAAACAGAGTCTGAACTAAATCAAAGTTAAAAACATTTATGCAAAGGTCATTATAAGAGAATGAAAGTCCAACACTCAAGATGGGCAGAAGTATTTGCAAATCCTGTATCTGATAAGGGATTAATATCCAGAGTCTATATAAAGAACTCCTACAACTTGGGGTGCCTGGGTGGCTCAGTCAGGCGTCCAGCTCTTGATTTCAGCTCAGGTCAGTCATCTCGGTGGTGAGATGGGAGCCCTGCGTTGGGCTCTCTACTGAGCATGGAGCTTGCCTGGGATACTCTCTCCGCTTCCGCCCATCGCCCATCCCCCACCCCCGGTTTGTGCTCGTGCTCTCTCAAAAACAAAACAACTACAACTCAACAACCAAAAAACCCCACAACCTAGCTAATTAAAAAATGGGAAAAGGACATGAATAGACATTCCCCAAAGATGATAGATAAATAGAAAATAAACGAAAAGATGCTCAACATCACTAGGGAAATGCAGATCAAAATGCAGATCAAAACCACATTGAGGGGCGCCTGGCTGGCTCAGTCAGTAGGGCATGCGACTCGTGTGACTACTTAAAATAATACATATTTCAGGGGCACCTGGGTGGCTCAGTGGGTTAAAGCCTCTGCCTTTGGCTCAGGTCATGATCCTAGGGTCCTGGGATCAAGCCCCGCATCGGGCTCTCTGCCCAGCGGGGAGTCTGCTTCCTCCTCTCTCTCTGCCTACTTGTGATCTCCGTCTGTCAAATAAATAAAATCTTTAAAATTAAATAAATAAATAAATAAAATAATACATATTTCAAATCCACGTTGAGTACTTCTTACCCACTAAAAACGGCTCTAAAAAAAAATATGCAAAAATGTGGAGAAAATGGGACCCTTGTGTCAGTAGGAATTTAACTGTGCAGCAGCTATGGGAAAAAATACAGCAGTTTCTCAAAAAAAAAAAAAAAACAAAAAACAAAAAACCTAGAATTACCGTATGATTCAGCTTGTCCACTGCTGGGTATATGCGGCTAAGAACCGAGAACAGGGACTTAAATAGGGATTTGTCCCCCCATGTTCTCCTAGCAGCATTATTCACGATAGCCAGAAGGGAGAAGCAAGCCAACTGTCCACTGATAAATGAATGAAGGAAATTTGGTATACACAGAATGGAATACCATTCAGCTTTAAAGAGGAAGGAAATTGTGACCTATGATAGAACATGGATGAACCTTGAGAACATTAATTAAATAAGCCTCTCAACAAAACACGTAATTACACTTTCATAAGGTCCCTGAAGTCAAGTTCACACAAAGAGTATGTGTATTGTGAGGGGCGGGGAGAAGGAGGAATGGGGAGTTACTTTGTAGGTAGAGATTCTGATGGGGTGAAGAGGAGGTTCTGGAGATGGATGGTGGTGGCGGTTACACAACAACATAAATGCACTTAAATGCTAGTGACCTGTATGCTTAAATGGTAAATTTTATGTTATGTATTTTACCACAATTTTTTTTTTCAACTTTGGAAGCTGGAGAAGAGAGAACAGTTCAGTAGATTTGAGAAAGCTTAACCTAAACTGGCTGAAGGGAAAAGCAGAGAAGCAGATTTACTCTATAAACACCCTCAGGTTCCGGTAATGGAAGCAGCAATCACAGGAAATGGAGCTGAAGAAGGGGTCAGAGTCCCTCCGCAGCTGCAGAAGACTAGAGTTTCAGTCTCTGATGGTGAGAGAGAAAGTCTCTGGTCTGGGCACCACCTGGCACAGCAGGCTGGGACACCCAGCCAAAATCAGGGTCTACAGGAACAATTACCTGCGGACTGTTGAGATCCACCAGCCTCCTTCCCTTGCCAGGCCCTACGACACCGGGCAGCCTAGCCTGCACCCTCCAGTTGGGAGGTCAAGAAGAATACTTTTGGCAGCCCTAACCAGCTCAGGAGAGAGGAGAAATGTCTGAAAGATCTCACATCTGGGTTCCCCCCATCCCGCCCGCAAAAAAAAACAACCCATGCTGACCACACACTGATGTCCACAGCCTCCGAAAGCTCCCGAGTGGACAAGCACGCACTGACACTAAATCCGAGGAGGATTAAAAAAATAAAACAATATCCTCAGGATGGATCTAAGAAACAGGAACGGGAGCAGGCCTCTTTACATGAGTACAAAGAAGAGGAGAGGGCGGAAGATGGGAGGGGGATAGGGGGGCAGGAGGGTATGAGTTCAGCGAATAAAAGAAAGCTCTAAAATTAAAAATAGAGGTTGAACCATATGAAGCTGCCCATGTTTTGGCTGGTTTGGACCTACATTAATAGCAGCAATAAAAAAAAAAAACAGGGCGCCTGAGTGGCTCAGTCAGTTAGGTATCTGACTCTCGGTTTGGCTCAGGTCCTCATGATCTTAGGGTCGTGGGATCGAGCCCCGCACTGGGCTCGTGCTCAGTGGGGAATCTGCTTGTCCCTCTCCCTCTGCTCCTCCCCGCACTTGTTCTCTCCCTCAAATAAAAAATAAAATCTTAAAAAACAAACACTGTATGAATTGTGTGATAAAGTGGAAGAAAACTCCCAGAAAAGCAAGAAAAAAGGTGACACAAAGATGGAAAACAGGAAGAAAAAAAGGTATCAGAGTACTAGTTAATAAAGAAAAAACAAGAAAAGGAAATTAAGAAATAATTAAAGGAAATTTCCCAGAACTGAAGGACATTTGTTTCTAGATTGAAAGTGTGATGTCCTGGAAGAAAAGATTCAGACTAAGGCTCATCATCAAAAATTACCAGGGGCGGCTGGGTGGCTCAGTTGGTTAAGCCTCTGCCTTCAGCTCAGGTCATGATCTCAGGGTCCCCAAATGGAGCCCTACAATGGACTCCCTGCGCAGCCAGGAGTCTGTTTCTCCCTCTCCCTCTCCCCTTCCTCCTTTGCTCTCTCAAACAAAATCTTAAAAAAAAAAAAAAAAAAAAAAAAAAAAAATTACAGATGGGACGCCTGGGTGGCTCAGTCTATTGGGCCACTGTCTTCAGCTTGGGCCATGATCCCAGGGTTCTGGGATCAAGTCCCACACTGGGCTCCTTGCTCAGCGGGGAGCCCGCTTCTCTCTCTCTCTGCCTGCTTGTGCGCACTCACTCTCTCTGGCAAATAAATAAAATCTTTAAAAAAAAAATTACAGAAAACAAGAAACAAAGAAAATGTCCTGACAAATTACAGATTAGAGAAAATACTCACTGAAGGAAGAAGTATCAAATGGTTCTGGATTAGACTCTGGAAGGCAAAGAAAAAGGAGCAATGCCTCCCAACCTTCTGTAAAAACATGGTTCCCAAATCCAGCTGAGCTACCAATGTGAGGGAATAATCAATGTCTACATGTCCTCCATGAAACCAGAGAAGCCAAGAAAAAATGTGGGATCACGGAAGGTGGGGACCCTACATAACACACAGACCAAGAAAATTACCAGGATGGCAGTGGGACACTGTCTCAGGCTGACAGCTGGGACAGCAGGCAGGAGTCTGGAAGAAAGCAAATCCAGAAGGGAGGCCTTCTGCAAAAACTGGTAGGGGCCAGAGGGGTCTGTGTGGGGGCAGAACAGTACTCGAGTCTGGTGCAGAGTCGGCCTGGAGACTAAGCGAAAAAGAGGCCATTAATTCCAGGGAAAAAAAATGTGTGCAAGAACGGAAATGTACTTACAATACACTATTTAGCACAACAGTGGACAGTCCTTCTGTGGCCATAAAAACAGACTTAACTGTGAATTGGAAAGATAAGGGGAGGGGGAAGATGTAAGAGTAGTAGTAATCCTTGTGTTCTACACAGCAAGCTAATAAGCACAGAATGCCCGAGTGGAAAAAGAAAATCAAGAAATAGTAACGCAGGCTTGCTGTGTGGAAGTACAGAGACTCTGGAAGAAAGAATTTAAACTGGGGAGTGTGGAGGGAGTAGGGAGACAGCGGTGAGAACCGGGAAGAGAAGGGAAGGACTGGCCTCAAATTCAGGCTGAGTAACAAAAGCTGGACCACTGACTTCACTCTGTTCCTAGAGCAGATCCTTCAAGTTCAGGGATCCTGAGGCATGTCCACTGTCATCTATTTTGTGCCACAGAGTTATTTTTATCATTAGTTATACTGATGGCAAGGGAAAACTTTTTTTTTTAATTCTTTTTTTTTTCTTTTTTAAGATTTTATTTATTTATCAGATAGAGATCACAAGTAGGCAGAGAGGCAGGCAGAGGCGGGGGAAGCAGGCTCACCACCGAGCAGAGAGCCCGATGCGGAGCTCGATCCCCGGACGCTGGGATCATGACCTGAGCCAAAGGCAGAGGCTTTAACCCACTGAGCCACCCAGGCGCCCCAAGGGGAAACTCCTTAAAAAGAAACAAATCTGGGGCACCTGGGCGGCTCAGTTAAGCAACTGCCTCCCACTCAGGTCATGATGTCAGGGTCCTGGGATTGACCCCCCACATTGGGCTCCTTGCTCAGCAAAGAGTCTGCTGCTTCCTCTGCCTGCCTCTCCCCCTGCTTGTGCTCACTCTATGTCAAATAGATAAAAATAAAATCTTAAAAAAAACAACACAAAAAAACGAACCTAAAAGAGACCGGCTGCAGAGGTTTGCCTCCGTGTACAGCAGAGCTCTTAAGCGGAACACAGCGATCTCTCTACTGAGAGAAAGGGAGGACCTTCGTGGAAAAACAAATGCAGAAGCGGGTTTCTACACGTGCAAGCACGGCCTGGACGGAACTGCAGGGGAGGGCTTACCCTGGGATCTCTGCTGCATGTATGGCGGAACTTCTAGTAAAGAGTCACTACAGCACCCAGCCCTGCCCAGGACTAGAGCAAGAGCCATCTAGGCCCTCCTCCGCAGGGCAGCTCCAGCATCCGTGTGAGACCACGAGCACAGCCTGGAGCTGGGATCCTCAGCCCAGCAGGGCTCCCTCTTCTCTGTCTCCACAGGGTGGGCAGCCCTTGCCACCAAAACTCCCCGAGGAGGAGGAATGGCTTCCGAGGTAGAGAATTCTCTAAATTCTCTGAATTCTCAAACCTCCCCCATTTCATCCTCAAATGTGGCCCAGTTGGCAGGAAGGTGTGTGTCTACCAAGTGTGAAGTGAAGGTGTCCTTTATTAGTTAATTTCTGGAGGAAAAAAAATGTTATTTTAGGTTTTGTGTCTTACATACACGATCTGACATTCTAAGCAACGAGAGCAAAACTGGTAGAGCTGGGCGGAGACGGACCGTGCTCTCTGTCCACCTCGCCACCGGTCACATCCCAGGGCCTTCCAAACTCACTCCAGCCCCACCAGCACGTGGACCGAGGATCCTGCAGATGCAGAACCCCAGCAGCACCAGCCGGAGAGTTTTCTCCTCTCCAAGAGGCCCCCCATAGCGGGTCAGGCGGGGAGCACGAAGTACAGACAACAGCAGCAGAAACCAAGCTACCTCATCGGTCCAAGCCTGCCTAGCCTCCCCGCCCGCCGCTGCCCTGCTGCCCTCCCTGCAGCGCGAGCTGGCTTGTCCGCACCACCCCGGAGAAGCTCCGCAAGCCAGTATTCTGGGTCAGGAACCACGGCGCTCTGCTCTGGCTGCTACCAGCATCATTTTTTTGTCAGCAAGTACTACCAATCTGGCAGTAACTGCTGTGTTTCATGTTTCTCCTCTAGCCTTGGCCGTGTGTCTGTCGTATTTACAGATCTGTCCTCCCCCTCACGCCGGGACCCTCCGAGAGCTGGCACACTAAGTATTTCCCCACAACTGTGAAGGTCCCAGCCTGTCCCCCAGGGCCCCAGGCCGAGCCTGCCGGGTGCCCCCGACTGACCTGATAGGTTGATTTCAGTTAAGGAGTCTCGGGTGGTGGTGCCCACGGCAGTGAGCAGGTTGATGGACTGGTCGGTCACGTGATTACAGTAACTAAGGTGGAGCTTGGAGAGCAGGGGCATGTGGCGGATGATGAGCCGCAGGGAGGCGTCCGTGATATCCAGGCCCGCTAGACGCAGCTCCACAATGTTCCGGAGCTTGCTCCGGTTGTCCATCTGACCTGAGGGGTCAGGAAGGAGAGAGGCAGCATGTGGACCCGATGGGGGAGATCTGCTCACACTGACCTAACACGGGAAGATTTGACCAGCCACACATCGCACTTGGGATTCACTTGGCCAGTGAGTGTTTCCCCAAACTGGTTCCTACATTTAAAAATCCAAAGATTCAAAAAAAAAAAAAAAAAAAAAATCCAAAGATTCCACAGCCAATCTCACGCTTCTGCAGTCCTGAAAAATCAGAACATTTGGAAATACAGCCCACATTCTACCCCGCAGTACTCGGCCCATCCGAGCAGGCCAGCACGGCATCTCCGGGTCACAGCACTTTTTCGGGTGAGCGCCAGGCGGGGAGCAATGAGCCTCGCAACCCGGCCCAGGAGGGCTCCCTCTTAGGAGCTCGTCTCTAACTACACTGACCCTTGTGCTCACGGAGGCTTAAAGCCAACAAAGTACAAATGAACGGAGAAGCGGTCAGATGCATGCCAAGAGCCCCCAGTGGAGTCTCGGGTGTACAAAGAAGCCTCTGCTCTCACGCATCATTTCTACACCTGAAGATGCCCGAGAGCACATCAGCCGGGACAATCTCTGCATCTTCTGGAAAATGGCTGAGACCATGAAGGCTTGAGAACACATGCACCGGGTGGGGGTGGGGGCTGTGGTGAAAACCATATCCAACAGCACAGCCTGGTCACGCCACCTCCAAGCTGACCCCCTTGGGCACCCTCCACCCCGGGCACAGCATGGGCCTGGCCACTCACCTGGCCTGTTATCTGTGGGTGGGGACAGGAGATCCCGCATCTGGGCATCCTTTAGTCCTTCTACCCACTGGACATCCAGGGTCCGGAGCAGTGGACAGCTAGAACTACAGAGAGCTGAGACCGCGATCCATGAGCAGCCCGACAGCACCAGGTCTCGGAGCCCTGGGGGACATAGGGGGCAGGTCAGGAGATGCAGCCCAGCCCCCACCACGGCACCTCTGGGGTCCCTGGCGCAGTGCTCACCAGGCAACCGGTTGATGAGCCAGCTCAGCTGTTTCTTGGAGATATTGGTCCAGCTGAGGTCCAGGGAGACAGGCTGCCGCCGGATGATGCCGCTCAGCATCAGGGGCGTGACGGACTTGCAGTGGTTCAGATCGATGCGGGTCCACAACCGCTTGTCGCAGCACCTGGGGGCCAGGCCCAGCAGAGGGCGTGAGCCCCCTGCGAGGCTGTGGCAACTCCCCCCGCGACCAAGTTTGGGGGTGGGAGGGGCCTCCCTAACTCCACCCTCTGGATCCTCTGTTTAACGCCTATCCTGCCCACACCTGGGCACCTCTGCTCTGACTGCAACAGGCCCCCACAAAGATGCCAGGACCTGCTCTCCGTGAAGCATTTACTGGGAGCTCTACTACTCCCCCTACAGGCCACTTCCCACAACAACGCTCTAGGCAGACCTCCTACGATGTCCTCTTACAGGTGAAGGTAAGTAACCTGGTAAAGGCCAGAAACCTAAGAAATACCAAAGCTGAAGTTAAGATCAGTAACTGGAACCCTTGCTTTGAACCTGCGCTACCTCTTCAAGGACAAGGACTCCAACTGGTTCTTAGCTCATCCTCCTAGAGCTGAACCAGGCAATCAACTACCGCTCACCTCTTCTGACAAGACCAGCATGACCAGGTTGTTGTAACCACCTGGAACTCTTTGAGAAGAATTAAGCTGGACTGAGCTTAGAAGGAAAGAAAGATCATCACGAGGGACTAAAGTGGGGACACATACCACACATGTGCCATTCCTGGTCTAGTCTAAGCCTGAGCCTGGAGCCCGACACTGGGCCAGTCCCTCGCTGCCTCCCCAGCCAAGCTCTGCCAGCGCCCCTCACCAGCGGTTCCAGGTCCTGCAGACCCGCATGCAGACACACAAGTCTTGGTGGCTGAGGTAGCTGAAGACGGCCATCCACACCTCCCTGTGCATGACATGGGCCGCCCCATCATCCAGGGGCAGTGAGTCAGGTGGGGGGCTGATGGGGGGTGGCCGAATCACGTGCCGCTCCATCTGGATGCACTTGGGCGGGGACACGGAGGGAGGGGGCCGGGAGATGACACGGGGTGGGCTGCGTAGGCCGGGCCCCAGCTGGTGCCGCAGCTCCCGGGGAGGGCCGGTGAGCCCCTTGCTGAAGCGGTGGGGGCGCTCACAGAGGCCCAGGGGCCGCTTGGGCTCCTCGCTCTCACTCTCGGGCTCTGACTTGATGGGCTGGTGGTTCTCGTTGGCCAGGCTGTTCTCCGTCTTCTGGATCTCTTGGTTCAGCTCCTTGCTCAGCTCCTTGCTCAGCTCCTTGGTGGGAAGCCGCCTTTTCCTGCGTATCTTTACCTTTTTCTTCTCCTCGGGGCCCTCTGCCCCCTCGGTGCTGGGCCCCGCGGTGGGGGAGCTGGAGCGGGAGTGGTCGCTTTCCCGGGCCTTGGGGGGCGCCTCAGGCAGGTCATCCTCTGGCTCCTGCTTGAAGCGCCGCAGAGGCTTGTTGGCAAGAGCCATCCGGTCCTCCGCGTTCTTCCAAGACCGCCGCTGAGGGAGGAGGGGGAGCAAGGGCAGCTAAGCCCCTAGGCTCAGGACTGTACCCACCCAGGCCTCTCCACCCTCCCGGGCAGCACCCACTGACACAAGGGCAGGCGTGGGGGGAGGGGAAGACAGGAGAATGGAAGACGGTACCTTTTTCCTGAAAAGCTTATCTTCTTTGCCAGGTTTTAGCTGTCACAGGAAAAAAAGCATGTAGATCTTGCTCCCAGGGTTCATGGGATTTGGTCCCCTCAACCCCCAACCCCACCATGAGTCCACAGTCTCTAGAGTAGGGGCTGGAGAATCACCTTCCCCGCAAATCCCATCTATTGTGACTGAAAGACGGTGGGCCCTGCCTGCTGCTTTTAAGAGAAGTTGGAAGGGGATAAGTATGGTCAAGCTGTTCCCACCCAACTGACTTCCCACCCTCGGACAGACCCTGAGATGTACACTGGCCCACTGAGGTCGGACTTGGCCCTGGGAGCCAGTCCTGGAGGCAGGGCCTGCGGGGTTCCCAGCAGAGCCTTAATGGCTGTAGCTGGGAAGACAACCAGGCGCCACCTCGTGGCCGAAGTGGGAAGGGCAGGTGGGCGGAGCTGCCGCCAGAATCCTCCGAGGTTCCCAGACCCGCAGAGCTTCCCCGAGTCAGCCTCAGCTTCCCAGGCCCCACGCCAGAAGCACGAGCCAGCCATCCGGGACTGGGGCCTGGGACGCTGCGGCGCACAGATGCCTCGGAGCGCCCACGGCAATGGGCTGGAGGACCCAGGGGAGAGGGGGATGAGGGAGCGGCGGGGGGGGGGGGGGGGCCCGGGACTCACAAGTCCCCAGGACCTCAGGAGGGCGGGGCGACGTGGGAGCACCTGCTGCTGGAAGTAAGTGAGACTGGATCTCCACCAGGGGCTGAGGCTGCTGCCTAGAGGGGGCCTCGGCGAGAGGTGAGAGGAGGAACCGGGGGACGTTTGAAGCGTCGAGGCCTAAAGGGGGTGGGAAGAGGAGTGACTCGCTGGTTTCCCCCTCCTTTCTTTGGGCCGGGCTCTCAGGACTTATGTGACCTGCTCAGGGCAGCCAGAGGCCAGGCCCCCGAGTTGTCCCCGCTGCCCGTCCCGCCCCCGCCCGTGCACCCCACGCCCAGGACCAGCCAGGCCACCCCTCGCTGCCCGCTCCTCCCCGTGCGTACTCGCTTGCGTCCACTCAGCTCTTGGGGCTTCTCGTATTTCCGCTTCCTCCTCAGGTGCACGTCGTCCGACTTTCGGCGCAGAATGCCGTCCGGGGGTACCTTCTTGGGGTGTTCGTCTGACCTGCGCCGAGGCACCTCCTCACACTCACTCCTCCGCTTGGCAGGCTCCTGCCCTTCCTTGTTGTCCCGGTTCATCTTCTGCTCCTTGAGCAGGGAGCCGGGCAGGTTGGAGGCATACTTAAAGCCAGGGCCACGCTTTTGCTTGTAGGCCAAAAAGAGAGAAGGAACAAACCCACTGTATATCTTTGGACTTGCCCCACTCTGGGAACCCGCAGCACCTCACTGGCCAACAATGCAGGGACAGGGTGCATCTGGCAAGGCCAAGGCCCGCCCCTCCCAGGCTGACCCCTGGGACTTGGAGCCCGACACTCACTTTCCCGGTCTTGCCGGCGTGATTACACTTTGGACACTCCCAGCAGTTTGGAAGCTCATCGTTGACTACGCCCTCTGATTCCTTAATCTGCAAAGGACACACGCCAGTCAGCAGGCAGGGACCGGGCAGAAGATGCCACACCTGCCAGCAGCAACAGCCCCCTCCCAAATGGTATTTCTAGCCCATCCCTGACCAAGAGAAAACAAAGGTGGCTAAGACAGGTGTTTCTGGATTCTGGCCAGCGGTCAAATTCTAACTTTGCCTCTTACTAGCTCAGTGATCATGGGCAAATCACTCCATCTCCATGGGCCAGTGCCCTCGACCATAAAACGGACCGTATCCGTCTCACAGCCATTCTGCAGTTCAGTGAGATAACCTCGGTAAAACGACTGGCTCAGGGCCTGGCAGCACCCAGAAAGGACCCCACCAACTGTTCAGTCATTGAGTAGCACTGTCCTGGGTGCTGAGTGTGAGCAGCTCCGAGGCACTGTCTCTGATCTGGGAGACCAAAGTCACCAGGCAACTAAACCATGAAGGTCTGACTTCCAAAGGCAGGGAAAATCCCAGTGCGGCCTTCAGAGTGGGAGGTGTGTGCAGGAGGAGGAACCTTGAGACAAACCCCTACTACCGCCACGGAGGAATGGACAGATTTCAGAGCTGAGGTAACATCTGGGGCAGGCAGACCTCCATCTTGCCAGGACACACAGATACACATAGGCTGACACCTGGGATGACGGGGAGGTGCCAGGCATGAGGACATTCTCTGCGGACAGCCCAGAACAGTCTCCTCCCTTCAGCAGTGGAACCTGTTGCCTAAGACAGGCAGGCAGAGCATGTGGTCCCCACAAGAAGGCAGCCCTGCCCCGGGCACACCAAGGGAGCAGGTTCTTGGCACACAGCAACACTAACGCAAGCACCTATTGTTACAGGACCCGCCCTCCCCTGGCCTGGGCCTTGTTCTCCCAGAAAACCCGAGCCAGGATTCCAGCAAGCGGCACAACCACCCAGCCTCTCCCTCTGGTTTGGGGGTGAGACTCTGGGAACTGTCTGTGGTTCTGAGGGAGGTGGGGGATATGTGTTTTTTCCCTCGAAGACACAGGTGGGGGAGGTCTGAACTACTCCAGACCCTTCTGGGCCTCAGCGCATTATATGACACACAGAGCCCTGCAGACTTGGACGTCCTCTGCGGAAGGAAGCTCGCCGGCCCCCCAGCATCAGCACCCCCACCCTCGAGGCCCTCAGTTGGGGGCGCTGAGCGGCACAGCCAGAGGCCCCCTGGGACTGCTCACCTTAAGGCATCCAGGGTGGATGATTTCATTGCAGATGGAGCACTCCATGAGCATGAGGTTAAACTTTCCTTCTTCCTCTTCCACCGTGTCTTCCTTCCCTGCCTCGCCGCACACCAGGCACACGGCAGTGTGGGGCAGCACTGGCTGAAGAGCCGGAGAGAGCACAGCTGCGTGAGCAGGGGCTGGGGCCGCGGGGAGCAGGTCACAGGCCAGGAGTCAGCAGAGAACTGGCCCGAGCCCTGCCCGTCGTCCATTCACTCATTCATTCCGACAGTCATCAGGCTGCTGTCTCAGTGTGCCAGACACTCAGTGCTGGGAAGGGCACCGAACAGGACAGAAATCTCTGCCATCCCGAGCCCACCCTTCAGTGGAGGGACGCAGCCAGATAAGAGTGACAGTGTATGTTGTGAAGGGGTATGGAGCAAAACACAGCAGGGAGGTCCAGGAGTGAGGGGGGCATGCGGGCTCCCTGGAAATACGGAGGCCAGGGGCCAGCGTCAGGGGCGAGGAAGGACCTGAGGGGGGGTGGGGCGTGAACTGCGCCCAGACCCGCAGGGGACCGAGGCTGCGCGTCACCAGCGCTATCACTGCGCTGTCCCCACCACTTGTCCAGGGAGGTCCGCGAGGTCAAAACCATCGTCAGAGTAACACTAAGATGTTATCTGCCTTTTCCAACTATGTTGACATTTGCTCCGGTGAGCGAAACTCCGGCTCTCTTTGTCAGGGCGGCACGGGGTTTGTCACTGCCGCACGCTCGTGACCGAGGTCGCCAGGTCTGAGGAAGGGCTTCGACGGGGCAGATGACGCTCCTCACGTTATTAAGGCTGACGCTTGAGTACGTAGCTTTTTTTTAATTTTTAAAAAATTATTTGAGTACCTATCTTTTCAATGTTCTGTATGACAAAATAAGTACGCATAAAGCGCTACTGCGGCATACCGAAGGACGATGGTTATCTAAAGGAAAGGCACTCGTGACTAAGTTGTGACCTGACTCGGTCCTTTTCTCCATAGGACATCATTCTATTTGACAGAACAACTGATTAAAAAAAAAAAAAAAAAAAAGAGAGTATTGGCAAATTTCTCAAAGATGAAATGAGCTGGTCACTTCCAGAAAAAAAAATTATAGCATTTGTTACAGAGGATAAAATTCTGATTTTAAAATAAAAATTAGAATTTTGGAAAACTGACATTAGCCGCCGTGAACTGGATAGCTTCCCAAGAGTTAAAGACCTAGTTCTAAGGAGATTGGTGGTGGTGTTAACAAATGTGATTACTTTTTTTTTTTTAAACATTGTATAACACTGTGTGCCCATATTGGGAAAATCTGTAGAACTCAGTGAGCCAGTGTTTCCCAAATAATGATGTTGTAACATCATGCATGAGCAAATGAGCTGTTCCAGGTGCAAGAAAGACTAATGAATTTTAATGTAACAGTATGAAAAGTTCATTGATACAGTTTCAGATTCCACATTGCAACTAATCTTTAAGAAACTACCACCTGTTGAGTTCGGGCAGAATCTCAGAGATACCCACCACCATCTGAGAAGACTATGACAATACCCCTCCTCCTTTCTAACTACAGATCTGTGTGAGGCCGCGTTTCCTCACACAGTTCCTCCAGAACAACATACTGAGACAGAATGAAGCCAGACACAATGAAAGAAATGCAGGTCTTGTCTAACGAACCAAACTAAAAGAAGAGATTTACAAAAACGTAAAACAATGCCATTCTTCCTCATCATTTTTGTTTTGGGAGATGGAGTTATTGCTCATAAAAATGTCACTCATGAAAAAAAAAGTTCTTTAAAATGTCGTTAAGTCTGTTTTTTTTTTCAATGAATTCAAAGTATTTTTTTAAACTTCCCCATTTTAATTTTGAATATAGTAATACTAATAAATAATACATATCAACAAAGCTCTTTGGGGTCCTCATAATTTTCAAGGGTTCCCAAGACCAAAACATTGGAGAATGGAGCGACTGGGCTGCAAGCCCTTTGCCGGCACGCCAGCACTTACTGTCTCCCCTTATACACACCCACCTCCCAGTACCTGGGATCCAGACGAAACACTCAGTTTTTATTACACTGAATTAGAAAAGCTTCATGTAAGCTGGGATATATGCTCCACTAAATGAAAAGCCTATAAGATGGCACAAACATCTGAGTTCAAATAACACCAAAGGCAAAAGAACTATCATTTGTTCAACAGATACTTAATAAACATCTACTCAAGCCTGAAGCAAGGACCCAAAAGGGGAACAGTAATGAGGGAGGCCCCTGTTCCCTCAAGCCGTCCGGGAGACGGAACATGTTGAAATCCCAGGAAAACATGGAAAAGTCATGTGCAAGTGCCTTGGGAAGCAGCAAGCGGCTGATTTCCGGAGGACTCCCAGGACAGGGAATCTGGGCTCCTACAGGCAGCGCAGTGGGGAGCAGGAAAAGCAAGAGACCTCCAACCCACGTGGCGGGGACAGAGAAGCCAGAGCCAGATGTGTGCAGCAACAGGGGGCAAGCCAGGCCAGCTGGGGAAGGGGAGTGCAGCACACCCAAAGCTGGGGGTGCTGGGTGAGGGACACCTGGTGGCTGGAAGATGGTCTGTGATGGGGTAGGCAAGGGTAGGAGACGGACTCTGAAATCAGCAGGCGGAACCACAGGCAAAGCCCTGCAGAGCCTCAGGAGGGGAACCCAGGCCCAAACCAGCAGGGAGAAGGAGCTGCGCAGTGCGAAGAGATGAAGCCTCACAAGTAGAAGCAGGGCGAAGGCTGGTCACAGAGAGACACTCTGGCACATCAAGAGAGAAGGGAAGAGAGGTGGCCTGCGTGTGTCAGAGGTGGGTAAAGCACGGCAGGAAGAGTCCCAACAAAGTGGGAAGGTTGGAGGAAGAGTAAGGAGGACACCAAGGGTCAGGCCAAGACCACATTTACTGTTAGCTCCAGAATTCCCATTAGACTGGAGAGACACACAAAAGTGAGGTTTCCTTCAACACTCACTGTGCCAGGCACTGAGCTAGGCACCAAAGCTGCAAAGCACCGGTGACAGCAGAGACAGGTTCTGAACCTGTGCCTAGAACGTGGGGCAGGAGCGGAGCAAGGCTAAAGAGGAAGAGACAGTTACAGGTCATGGCCCACGGCCGGAGTCTTCTCAAAACCAACAGTCCCTACAGATAACAGCCCTTCAATCCTGACAGAATGCAACAGGTCACACGGACCCTCACTCCAGAAAAATGTATATATAGGCATGCACAGAGACAAAAAGCTGTATTTAATTTCAAGGGGACTCCCAAATTTCCTGAAAGCCACTGAAACGACCTGGGTTCAGGTAACAAAAATAGAAGCAACGAAACAAAAACCATATGGGAAAGGAGATAATCCACTGAGTGAAAAGGCAACCCATGGAATGGGAGCAGATATTTAGAAACCGTGTATGTGATGAGGGGTTAATACGCAGAACACATGCAGAACGGCAACTCAGTAACAAAAACACAAACAATCCAATTTAAAAAATGGGCATAGAACTTAAAAAGACCTTTCTCCAAAGAAGCTATGGCCAACACAGACAAAAAAATGAAAAGATGTTCAAAGTCACCAATCATCAGGGAAATGAAGATCAAAACCATACGGGTAACCGCTACCAGCACAACAGAAAACCACACGTGTTAGCGAGATGCGGAGAAAACGGAACCCTTGTGCCCTGCTGGGGGGAACGTAAGGTGGGTCAGCCTCTATGGAGAACAGTATGGGGGTCTCCAAAATAATTAAAAATAGAGCTACTGGGACACAGGGTGGTTCAGCTGGGTTAAGCATCTGACTCTTGATTTTGGCTGGGGTCACGATCTCAGAGTCATAAGATCAAGCCCCAGGATGGGCTCCGTGCTCAGCGTGGAGCTGGCTTAAGATTCTCTCTCTGTCCCTTTCCCTCTGTCCCTCCCCTCACTTGTGTGTGCATATGCGATCTGTCTCTCTCAAATAAATCAATAAAATCTTTTATTTTTTTAAAAAAGATTTTATTGATTTGATAGAGATTACAAGTAGTCAGAGAGGCAGGCAGAGAGAGAAGGAAGCAGGCTGCCCACTGAGCAGAGAGCCGGATGCCGGGTTTGATCCCAGGACCCTGAGACCATGATCTGAGCCGAAGGCAGAGGCTTTAACCCACTAAACCCATTGATTTAGGCACCCCTAAGTCAATAAAATCTTAAAAAAAAAAAAAAAGCTACCATATTATCCAACAATCCTACTTCTGGGTATATATCCAAAAGAATTCAAATAGGATCTCAAAGAGACACTGGGCCCCCCTGTGTTCACAGCAGGATTATTTACAAGAGCCAAGATATGGAAGCAACAGAGGAACAGGTAACAAAAACGCAGCATAGGGGCACCTGGGTGGCTCAGTGGGTTAAGCCGCTGCCTTCGGATCAGGTCATGATCTCAGGGTCCTGGGATGGAGCCCCATGTAGGGCTCTCTGCTCAGCAGGGAGCCTGCTTCCCTCTCTCTCTCTCTCTCTGCCTACTTGTGATCTCTTTCTGTCAAATAAATAAATAAAATCTTAAAAAAAAAAAAACCTGCAGCATATACAAATGGTGAATATTATTCAGCCTTTAAAAAGAAGGAAATCCTGACTGGCTCAGTTGGTAGAGCGTGCAACTCTTGGTCGTGGAATCATGAGTTCAAGTCCCATGTTGGGCACAGAGTTTACTTTTTTAAAAAAAGAAAAGGAAATCCTGACCCATGCTACAATATAGATGAACCTTGAGAACATTACGCTCTGACAAATAAGCCAGTTGCAGAAGAAACAGCACTTTCGGGAGGTACCTACAGCAGTCACACTCAGAAAGTAGAAAGGTGGTTGCCAGGGGTTGGGGGAAGGGAAATGGAGTTGTTCAATGGATATAGGGTTTCCATTTGGCAAGATGAAAAGGTTCCAGAGATCAACTTGCACAACAATGAGTATATAGGTAATAGGACTGCACTGGACACTTAAAAATGGTTAAAACGGTTAATTCTGTTCTGTGTTTTTGACCATAGTAAAAAAAGAAAAAAAACCCACTGAACTAAAACAAAAACACACACAGTATACGTGGAGGGAGAAGGGGGAAGGCGCCCCTGGCCTCAGAGGGGCAGCCGCAGCCAGAGAGAAAGGCGCACCCAATGCCAGGCTGGGCCTTCGGAGCTAACCCAGGAATCCCGTCCCTCCTGCTAAGCCTGCTTTCCCACAGGAGCAGAGAGAGCACACTGTTCCCACAGGGAGGACCCCAGGCCTGCAGCAGCACCCTGTGGAAGGCAGAGTGTGCGTATGTGCCGGACGGGCCCACGGAGACACCCCAGGACCACGCCAAGTTGTCAGAGTCTGCATCCACTGCCAGGTCCTGGAGCAAGGCTGAGGGCAGTGAGAGGGTCCGGAGGTGCTGGCCAGACTCTCTGGCCGCCCAAGCTCCTGGGCACCATCAATCAGTCCTCTTTATCCAGGGCAGGCCCCTCAGGAGGGGCACTGACCTTTCCCCTAGACCTCTGACTTTGAAGGCAGGACAGGAAGGAAGGGAGGGCCTAGAACCATCATGAACTGGACCATAAATGTTGGCAACGGGGTCACAGACAGGACAGGCTGACATCTGTAATGGCAGAGACTTCAAAGTACTCAGCCACCGAGGGGAGGAAGAAGTTCTAGGACCGTCAGCCTAGGAAGAAAAAGGGGCCCAGGACGGCGAAGTGGGCCCCTCAGTCCTGCAATGTGGAATCTGAAACAGCGCGGCTCAGAGCCCCCGTTCTTGCCGCAGGGGGCACCTCTGAGGTGTTTCTGCAACTGGAACACCCACTCTAAAAGAGAGGCCAGGCGACCGACAAGCGGGCGCTGTGGACGCGGACCGGCGCTGGGGGGCGGGCAGGTGCTGGGGCGCAGACGGGCGCTGGGGGGCGGACGCGGAGCCGCCCCAGGGCGCCCGGCTGCCGCACTCACCGCAATGCACTGCCGCATGATACAGCTCTGCTTCATCCGCCCGGGGCCCCCGAACTTCTTCATGTCCTTGCAGAAGTGGCACTCTCCGCACTCGGTCCGCAGGCAGGCCTCGCACTTGCGGCATCGCGTCCGGCGTCGGCGAGCTCCCGCCGTCGTGCGGTTGGCGGCCAACTTCACGGCGGAGGCCGGGCCCAGCTTCCCCTTGGGCCGCCCTACTGCCCGGTTCTGCGGGAGAGCACACGGGATTGTGAGATGGGCCACAGGGCTGGCCAGACACCACGGCGGGGGGCCTGGGGCTCGTGTTCCGCTCCCAACCCCAGGACCTCGGACAGCGGGCCTTACGGAGAAGCAGGGCTTTTACAGCAGTGATCCAACTGAAGTAAGGTCACTGCAGTGGGCCCTACTCCTGTAGGACCAGCGTCCCTATGAAAGGGGCAGTTTGGGCCCAGGAACGGAGGGAGTGTGTGTGGAGACACAAGAAGGAGATGGCCGTGTGACTGGAAGTGTCTACAGGCCAAGGAAGCCAGCAGTCCCGAGGCTGGAAGAGACAAGGCGGGATCGCCCCCCGGGTGTTAGGAGCAAGCACAGTCCTGCCAGCACCTGATTTCAGACTTCTGGCTTCCTAACTGTGAGAGAATATGCTTCTGCTGCTTTAAGCGCCCCGTTTTGGGTACTTCATTCCGGCAGCCCCAGAAAGTGAACAGAGGACACCCTGCTTCTGAGAGCACGTCCTGGTTCAAAGACCCTTCCGCCACCATCAGGTCTCAGCACAGGCACCCCCCTTCCTGCCTCGTGCCAGGTTCTGCATCCCCATGAGGCCACAAAGGGCCACACGGAAGGCCTCTGTCCCCTTGGCCAGGAACACAAACCTCCTCCCTACTCCAGGTGGCTGAGACCTAATCATTCTGCAGGCCCCGGTCTACACTCTGCTTTCTTCTGACAGCCCTCGGTGCCCTCCCTTGTTCTGCGTTCTGGGCGCCTCCTATGGGCTGTGTTCTCAGGGGCCTTCCCTTTGAGACAAGAGCTCAGGAAGGCAGTTATCAAGAGTGTCTTGTCGGGGTGCCTGGTGGCTCAGTGGGTTAAGCCTCTGCCTTTGGCTCGGGTCACGATCTCAGGGTGCTGGGACCGAGTCCCACCTCGGGCTCTCTGCTCAGTGGGGAACCCCCCCTCCCACCGCCTCTCTGCCTGCTTGTGATCTGTGTCAAATAAATAAATAAAATCTTTTAAAAAATATGTCTTGTCACCAGTGTTCTTTGACAAGATTGCCTAGCACAGGATATGCTCAGCAAACCAAAGTCTAGCAGAATGGGACAGAAAGCCTAAGGAGCCTTGGCTTCTGAGCTCTTCTCTAAACAGGCTCCAAACGCTCTTTTCCCGCAACTCAGAAGAAAACAGAGATGAACAGAAGAGCAGTGCTAAAATGCAAAACAGTGAACCAGTCAGCCACTGGTCCTGCCCAGAACCCTGCTGTCTGGGGTGGCAGCCTCAGAGCCCCTTGCCAGCCAGGATCCGTGGGGGAGCTCCCAGGCCAGCTGCCTGGGACACCCTCTGCTCAGGTCCCCCATGCACCTGGGACTGGAAGTGGGAGGGACCAGGATGGTAGTGTGTGTTGTCTGAAGCACCTTTTCCAAGCAGCAGGAGTCTGCTGGAAAACGGTTCATCGGTCGGTGAGACACACTCCTTATCCCAAATTATGACTGAGTTAGCATCTAACGCTTAAAACAGCCCCTTCGGGGGCACCTGGGTGGTTCAGTGGGTTAAGCCTCTGCCTTCGGCTCAGGTCATGATCTCAGGGTCCTGGGATCAAGCCCCGCATCGGGCTCTCTGCTCAGCAGTGAGCCTGCTTCCTCCTCTCTCTGCCTGCCTCTCTGCCTACTTGTGATCTCTCTCTCTCTGTCAAATAAATAAATAAAATTAAAAAAAAAAAAAAGAACCTGGATACACACCAAAATTAGAGAAATTAAAAACAAACAAACAAACAAACAAAAAAAAACCAGCCCCTTCGCGGCCAATTAATCTCAAGTCCGGTCCTAGCCTTTTAATTTTACTTGCATGCCACACCTGGATCCCTAACAAAAGCCCCTCTTGTCAGCTCCCGGGCCCAGAAGTGTGGTTACTCTGTATCACAACAGTGCAAAGGGTCCTCCTTCCAGAGCCCCCTCCGCGCACCACCACAGGGGCTATCTAGAAACCTATAACCACATCAGGAAGAAACACAGTCCACCTTTCCCTGTGAATAACGCCTCGCCATCAGCCATTTCTTCTGCAGTGCAGTGGTCCCTGCAGAGAGCTGAAAATCTCACACCACCCCCCCTTTGGTATTGACACCTTAGATCCTTCCCTCCAATTTATCTTCCTAGCACCCTGCGACATTCAGGGGAGCCTGGCTACTCTAGATCTTTATCCCCCTCAACTTGCTCTAAACTCCAAAGAAGAAAGGGAGACACAAGACCTGGCTCCAGTGGCCCATCAGTCCTCGTCGACCCCACCTGGCCCCTGCTGCTCCCACAGAGCCACTCCACACTCAGTCAGGGCCTCCCTCAGCTGTAGGGTGGCCTGGCCAGCGGCCCTGGTACTGGGGAGGGCCACTGGACCTATACGCCATCAGCTGCGTCGGGCAAGCAGCAGCTCCCACAGAAGCTACACCGTCTCCCGGCAGTGAAGGTCCAGCGGCTCCCTCCCACCAGTCCTTATACCGCACCCCAGTGAGGGCTGGGGCACCCCTGTCACACACAGGAGGAGCTTAGCAGCCCTGACACTGGGAGAGGGATGATCCGACTACACATCACACGCGTCCATTCAGGTCAGGTACTGCTGCCAGACGAGTGGTTAAACACAAAAGTGTTTCAGAATGTCTGGAGTTGAGAATGGTACACAGGGGCCATGGACCTGAACGCTAAGCAGCTGACCATAGAACAGCAAGTGTGCCAGACGGGAGCAGCCGTAAGGATGGCGACGGCAGTGACAGTGGATATTTGCCGAATGCCTGCTACTGTGATCATTTTACATATGATAGGACCTTATTTTCCCAACAAGAACCCCATGAGAGATGCCATTTCTCAGACAAGGAGACTGGAGGGAGAGGTAAAGCAACTTGTCCTAGGTGACAGAGCCCGCCGAGGATCAGCACACAGCCCTGGAATGGGTCCACGGTTAGCGCCTTCCTTCATGCCCACAGCAGGACAGGTGCCAAAAAGAGATACAGAGAAGCACACTCACTTCCAGAGAGAAACGGAAACCAGGAGGGTTTTTCCCTCTCTTCACAGCTCGTAAGAATCAGATTCTACCCCTATAAAGAGCACGTGTCCTGGAAGCAACTCACTCCTCTAATCCCCAAAACACAGGCGACAAGGTGGACAATTCTGAACCTCAAGTCGGGGAGACAGAGGGCAGCCCAGTCCGACCTCCAAGGACAAACTGGGGTGAAGGGCTCAAACTATGATGCCCAGAGCAGGAGAGTCTAAGGACCAGTTGCTTTGGTGAAAGACTGAAAAAATTCCCAGAGTCCAAACCCGGCTCTCCCCTCCCACTCGGGCACGTCAGGTATAAATAGCCTCTGGGCGCCTCTGGCCTAACTCCGAGAAAAAACCTTGGGCCGATCCAGCCAGTGTCACAGAGCTCATATGTGATGCTGAGATGAGCCTACCCTCCAGCGCTTTCCAAAGCACATTCCCACCCAGAGAAGCACTTCTCCAACCCACGGAAAAAACAAATCCTCCTGAGTTCTGATGGCAGCTGAGCCGCTCTGGAAAATGACAGGGCCAATGACAGACAACATCCTGGAAGAGGTGTGAAGAGGCCCTGTTTTCCGAAGACCTCGACTCAGGCCCTCTCCAGCCGGTTGCCAAGCCAAGTCTCAAGTTGCCAAGAGAAGTTCCTGCCGCCCGCAGCTTCATGGCCAGCTTTTGTGGGACGTGGGCGCCAGGTGGCTTGTCAGGAGTCAGCTGAGCAACACCTGAAGTACAGGATCCTAAGACAGACCACCCAGAAAACCAATAGGTGAGAAAGACACTGGAGGGTCTCTGAGAAGGAAGATAAGCCACAACCCTATCATTCTGGTATCAAGCTTCTGTCCTAATCTCTCCTGCATGGTATCTTACGGTTCACAGCCCAATTCTAAACTCCACTCTATCCCACCTTTGCCCCTACTTGTTCAAGTAACCCAGAACGCAACTTTCTTAATTTCGGCATGACCTGGTTTTCTCAGCAAAAAGGAGTGATGGCAGCCACCAACTTTCACTTACAAACCAGCCTTCTCAATCCCAAGGCCACTTGTTGATTTTATCAGCCCAGCTCCACTTGTTAAGGAAATCTGCAGTCCACATGCCCCCCTACACAAATCATAGTATTCCAACAATCTTCTCCACCAGCTACTCCTAAGCATCTTCCTTAAAGGCAACATCAGTCCAGTAGTTCTTTCATTCATTCCACAAATACTTACGGAGTCCCTCCTACCCATCAGATCCTCTCCTCCTGAATATTCATGGACAGAACCTTTTCAATCCCTCATCTCTAAAACTCTGGGGTTAAAATTACTTGGAGTAACCTAAATTAACGAAAAAACATCCCATGTTCATGGATTCAAAGACAATACTGTCAGGATGGCAATACTCCCCAAAATGATCAATAGATTCAATGCAATCCTTATCAAAGTCCCAGCTGGGTTTTTGTAGAAACTGACAAAGTGTTTCCTAAAACTCATGTGGAAATGCCAGGGACCTGGAAAGGCCACAGCGATCTTGAAAAAAGAATAAAGCTGGAGGGGCGCCTGAGTGGCTCAGTGAGTTAAAGCCTCTGCCTTCGGCTCACGTCATGATCCCACATCATCCCACATCGGGCTCTCTGCTCTGTGGGGAGCCTGCTTCCTCCTCTCTCTCTGCCTTGCCTCTCTGCCTACTTGTGATCTCTGTCAAATAAATACATAAAATATTTAAAAAAACAAAAAAGAAAAGAAAACAAGCCCTTAAAAAAAAGAAAAGAATAAAGTTGGAGGACTGATATGTCCTGATTTCAAAACTTAGTACAAATCTACAGTAAACAAGACCATGTGGTACTGACATAAGGACATACAGATCAATGGAATTGAGAGTCCAGAAATAAACTCTTCTAGTATTTATGACCAAACAATTTTCAGTGACCAAGTGAATTTCAACAACTGTGTCAAGACAATTTAGTGGGGGGAAGATAGTCTTTTTAACAAATGGTGCAGGGACATGCAAAAGGAA